TCAAACAGTTCTACTCATTTGGGGAAGATGCATGTTATCTTACCTAGATCAATCCACTTGAATACCTTGGAACAATTAGTAGACCTGAACACTGATAATGTTGGCAGATATTACCCATAGCTCTTCGGAGCCAGAGAAATAGTTAGTTATTGTTATCGATGTAGGCATAGTCGTAGTGAGAACGCAGTTATCAATATTTACTTGGTTGTCTTTGAGAACGATGACGTTGTCGGGCGTCAAGCATATAAAATTAACTTCATTGGCCACACTTCAAATAAACTTTCTTCAACAGCTTGTTAAACCGTGGAATTTTCTTCGAGGAAGTCTTATCAACACACTCTACTACACACCCCAAGCATGGTTAGCCAGGACACCAATGCACACAAGTTCCGCTTGAAGGTAACGGCAGGCGCAGACTACGACCGCAAGACTCATCAAGTGGTACCTGTAAATGGCGAGACAATACGAATCGAAAACGAGCACGCTATTGTGAGTCTCTGCGTACGGATCAAAAACTACACAGGTAATACCCCTACTCTCATCTATTCGGTCAAAGAGCGGAGCTCATCTGTCAAACAGGCTACCCTGAAAGTTCGCCTTCCACAAGCCCATACTTTGACGATCCCCTGCATCAAAAAGACCTATATTCCATATGCTTCTCAATTATCTTCAAAGAGCCGGTGAACGGCAACAACCTCTACTTTGGCAATGACTTCGATCACCCTGTCCGCGACTTCCTACCTCCGGGATTCAATGCAGCGTTACGGATTGTCAAGTGGACCCTCGACCCTGGCCTAGACGGTGATGTCTACGCTGATAAGCCGTATCTGTACAGCCCGGCATTGGCATCGTGGGACCAGTTCCGCATTGGAGATAAGGTGCGGAAATCTGACGAGGTGCCAAAGCTCGATGATGAGATTATTGAAGAGGGCTCTTACAGCAAAGATGCTGCCAGTGTGCGTCGCAAATTTAACATCCCTGATACAGTCGAGGGACGCAGAAAGTATTTCCAGGATGAGGCGAATAGGAAGGAGTTTGAATTTGAACCTGGGAGGATGTATGTTGCTGATTTTGGAAATCCTTATTTGGCATTCGAAGGTCAGTGAAATTTAGACTTACTCCTTTGATTGGGATCATCGACTCACTGATCATATTAGACTTCTCTGTCCGTCTTCCTGGATTCAATTTACCTATCATGAAGTACGTGGATGAGAAGAACCATGAGCTGCGGTATACGCTCAAGGATATTTCAACCGGACGCGTGTATCTTACTGTATTGTTCTCGGTGGTCCTACGCGGAACGGAAGACGAGCAAGACCATAGTAAGAGTGAGCAACGTGACGACAGTCTAGGGAAGTTTGACTGGGAGCCGGAGCCATCATCTGGCGATGTCGAGTGATTTTCTCGATTTAGCAGGGTATGCTGTAGTTGCATGCAAGAAAAAACAGTAAATTCGTCTCAAGTATCATGCAAACTTTGAATTATATACAGATTTACTTTTTACAGTCTCTTCAGGACATCCTCCAAAACCTGCTGAGTGGTAGCCTTTCCACCCATATCAGGGGTCAGGAACTGAGCAGCATCCAGGTTACCATCGACAGCAGCGTATATCTGGGCAGCAGCCTTCTCCTCGCCCAAGAACTCGAGCATCAGAGCAACACTGCGGATAGTAGCAATGGGGTTGGAGATACCCTTGCCCTCAATGTCAGGGGCACTGCCGTGGCAGGGCTCGCCGATGGCGAAGCCATCACCAACGTTGGCACTGGGGACGAGACCCAAGCTGCCAACAAGGGCAGCAGCACCGTCGGAGAGGATGTCACCGTAGAGGTTAGGGGCGACAATGACATCGTAGAACTCGGGCTGGCGGAAGAGCTTGTAGACCATGGAGTCGACAATCTGCTCCTCAACGAAGATGGAGGAGAACTTCTCGGCGGCGAGAGCGCGGCGCGCGGTCTCACGGAAGAGACCGTCAGTCTGCGAGAGCACGTTCGACTTGTGGGTGATAGTGACCATGGGCTGGGCACGGGTAGAGGTGGCGGCAGCCGCGCGGATGCTCTGGCGGCGGAGTGCAATCTCACCGGCGATGTTGGCGATGCGGAACGAGGCATGCTCGGAAATACGCTTGATAGCCTCGGCAACCTTGCCGTTAGGGGTATCGATGGTGCGCTCTTCCTTCACGTACAAGTCCTCGGTATTCTCGCGAACGATGACCAAGTCAATGGGCTTGCCATTGCTGTTGCCGGCGGTAGTCTTGACAGGGCGGACGTTGGCGTACAGGTCGAGCTTCTTGCGGAGAGCGACAATGGGCGACGAGTAGCCGGCGACCTTGGTGCTAGGGGAGCTTTGGGTTGGTAGCAATTGTCAGCCGGAATTGCGCATGCTGAAAGAATGATATCGCAGCTTACCTGACAGCACCAAAGAGAGCACCATCACACTCCTTCTTCAGGGTATCGACAGTCTTGTCGGGCAGAGCGGTTCCAGTCTTCTGGAAGGTTTCGTATCCAGCATCGAGGTCGACGAAGCTGAACTTGAGGTTCAGGGACGCGGGGAGGGACTCAAGGATCCGACGGCCGGCCTATATTCCATCAAGCAACTCCAGTCAGTGAATCGCCTCGCATATCAGATCTTGAGTGTTACCCACCGGGATGACCTCGCGTCCGATACCGTCTCCGGGGATGAGACCTATAATATTCCGATCATGTCAGTCAATTGCCGAGCCACGAGATCGCAAAACAAGGGCGATCGTACCAATGCGAAGTGTCCGGGCAGCAGCCATTTTGATAGACTTTTTTGCAGAGTTGCTTTCTTGAAATCGACAATCGCCGTCATCGGAGCTTTTGATTTTGTATACGGCTCGGATTATTGTTGATCCGATATACTCCGGAGAACCCCATACGAAGTACTTTATTAGAGACTCGGCTTTCTAGCTCACATTCTATAAAATGCTGGCGATGGAACAAGATCAAAAAGTAATGTGTGTCTGCTTGACTATTGAGTTCAAGAGGAAATGATGCAGTCACCTGGGAAACCATCCCAAGGTTGCATGGATATGCGCTCGGACTACCCAAACGGGTGACATCTCGCGAAATTGAATATAGACAATATCTTCGGAGGTTCTTTGATGGCTTCGCCGAACTTTAAACTATCCATTCCCATCGTGCTGCTCAATCTTGGCAGGTATTATCAACGCTAAACCCAAATGGGTCACTTACGATGTAATGAACAAACCCCTCATCTTCTCCAAGCGCCCGGACAAGCCGAACAGTTGATGAAGAGTTCGCGTCAATCGGGGGTAGTGTAAGCCCAATGACACTGTGCAACGAGGTATATGCAAGCACAGAGGCCAAGTCGCGAGGTCTAAATATTAGAATAATCATGACGTTCTGCAATGCAGAACTACCAGCGATTAAACTGGCAAGAACAGATACTACACTTGATCTAAGCCAGAGGCAAAGAGAGCTGAAGAAGAAAGAAAAGAAGAGGAAGTTCTGGGGGCAGGGTCACCTTCTTATAGGTATCCTAAGGGCGGTCGGTTTATGCCACTATTCACAAATGAGACAAACAACGACATATGCTCGCTTAATTAAATATGTAAGTGGTAACGTGATGATCAAGACAATCACTGTTGATATCAGTTAGATGGCTGGACATACCATAGGCGAGGATATCTCTTTGATGTGTTACTTATCGGCAGTGCACAGGCACACAATGTGGCCTAATTAGTCACTTATAAATTGAACCCAACTCTCAGAGTAGATATTCAAAGCAGTGCAGATGGCACTTAGTTTCTCAGATTGTATTCGATTTCGATCCCGTGCTTCATCACCCAAACTTATTGTCAACTCTTTCTTCGACTCCAGGACTCAATATGGCATTCAATCTTATGTCCCATTCGTTGGATTCGCCAATCTCAACCGGGAAACGGAATATTGCCATCGCAGAGATTGTCATTTATTCCCTCATGCAGGCGATACTGGCACCATAACAAGAACAAGAGTATCGGACGCTGTGTGTTCTATTCTTGGTGAAGTATGGTTGGTCTGCTGTCACAGAGTAAGTGGAAGACGTCCCAACTATTTCAAAAATATGGCCATTGAACTCCTTTATAGTTCGCATAGCGGGCTCAGCCTTGGTTCTTGCTAACTTACACCCGGAGAAGCTAATGCTCATTGCTGATTCGATTTTGCAAAGCATGGGCCTTTCACCCCTACGAGGGCTTGTTATTGAAGCAGTTGATATAGTGTTTACTTGTCGTGATGGTCCCTAAAAGCCCTCGTACACCCCTCTTGTTTGAAGTTAGCTTGGTTCTATTGCGATATTTCATAAGCCTGGACCTCGCTTTTCTTCTGGGAAAAGACTGAATATACTGGCAATATTTGTCTGAATAGTGGACAATCCGGAGAAACTGGCTACGGAAATTTAAAATGGACCAAGTTGACCCGGTTTGCTCTTTGCTCTGTATTTCTTCCGTTTCCCGAGTTTCATCGCCATCATGCTAGCAGTGGTGGGTATTTTAGCATGGATACAACCCACTCACCTTCACTCGTTTAACACCGAGCAGCCATTGCTCCGAGCACGCCGACAATTATGAATCATAAGTTCATATTAATTCAAAGAAGCCAAGAGAGTTGGAGAATACTCATATACAACATAGGATCTGGTACCCGTCACGTGCTCCCATCGGACATGCCCCGAGATCCTCTCATTCGCCGAAAGGAAGGTGGTTGCACTTCTATTATTGGCCTTTTCTCTTGAACTAAGATCAATGCATTATTGTGATGTAATCGTGCCAAGCGCCCAAAACACGTCCCGTGTATTGGTGCGCCCCACTCAACGATAATTTTCACTCAACGATAATTTTATTGAAATAATTCCAGTTAACTCAATATTTACAAGTAACCACCTTGACTATCCATATACCAATTTCCATGATTAGGATTCCTTGCCAACATTGAAGCTTCATGCTCAGCCTCAACTAAATCCCTAGCCTTTTGGGCTTGCTATTCAGCTTCCAACTTCTTGGTATGTTTTGCCTGGAACCGCTCCAACTTTTTAGAATCGGCCGTTCGCCTATCTACCATCTTCTTATTTGCGCAGGTTGGTGCTAGTACTAAGCCCCGTGTACCAAGAATCGATTGTCCATTTTTCTTAGCTTCCGCATTTGATCTGGAGATGCCAGCCTTTTTTAATTCTACTTTGAGAATAGCGACCTCTTGGGATAAAAGTAGATTTGCATCTATACTTCGCCGAATATGCCGTCTAGTTACCCGAGATTGGTCGTCAATCTTCTCTAGATCACGGACTAGCTTAGTATTAAGCCGATTGACCCGATTGATTGTATCAGGTGGTGAATTGGTAACTGAGCTTGAGATCTCGGGTAGGGGCGATGGTGTAAAGAACCGTAAGGGAGACCCTTCGTTATCGATAGCTTTCTGGCGTAGTGGGCCAAGAATAACCTCTGAATCTAAAGGGTAAATACCCCTAGTTCTAAAAGAAGCTCTGATAATTCTTTGGGTAAAAGTTTGGGTCCGAACTTTTTGAATTATCCAGAAAAAATCCCGCTTTTTACAGGCACTTCCACCCTATATAATAGCCTTATTATTCGCTGTATGAAAATGATACTTAAGTGTTTGGAATGCTTGACCGTCTAGCGGTTAACAGAAATGGGTTATATAGGGTAAAAAGAAGAAGGGGATAATAAAATGCTAGTTGCAAAATTCAATAAACTTGATTGTTATATGGGAGTGATGGTTATCTATAAGAAGTAGGTATGGTCTACCCTTCTTAACCTAGGATATTAAGGCTTTATAAAAAGAATAAAGCCATTCGAAAGCAGTATTGTTGTTAATCTAGCCATTAGGCGTAGGTTTAATTCGAAAATCGGGTATTTCAATATTTTCGTACCACTCTTCTATATATAAAGAACCCCTCGGTAAAAACCAGGGTAATATAACCTAACCATCGGCACTTATATATTCAATGCCAGTAATTGATTCCTTTTAACCACTAGTCTAATTAGTAAAATTGATATTAGGTATAAGTACCTTTTGGCGTTTTCCTTGGCTAATTTGGTAGCCGGTTTCATCCTAGTTAAAGATCTCGTTTAGGAGAAAGTGATACTTTTTAAAGAGAAGATCGAGGTTATTAAACCAAAGAAGTAGAGGGCCGTATTGCTCACTATCTACCCTCGATTTTTCAGACATTTTTGGAAGCATATAGGGTATCGTGGGTGGTAGTCTTTGTATATACCGGTAGACCCAATTTAGGCCTACTATCTAATCGCTTCCAGTGCGGCGTAGAATTGAATTTACAGCCTCTTCAAGAATTGAATTGGGAATTGCCATATTACTAATATAGAGAGTATCAATCCATGTTCTCAATACTTTCTCCTGAATTGGGCTCAGGGTCTTTTTTAGACTAGCAGCAGTGGTTTTAGTCCCGCGCCCGTGAATGTGGGCGCGAAGCCGTTGGTATGGAACCTCGAATTCCCGCGCCAATTGAGCGATATTAGGTTTTTCGGCTTTATGGTAAGCATGAACAGCCTCTAAGGTTCTATCCTCGAGATTTTCAATTTGATCTGCCATGGTGGTAGGGTGTAGGATATTAACAAAGTAGGTGACGAAGACTAAAATTATCGTTGAGTGAAAATTATCGTTGAGTGGGGCGCACCAACACACAACATGTGTGTTGGGCGCTTGGCACGATTACATGATCGATCTATCTTTCAACGTTAATTGGGAGACTGTATTTCTTGGCTATGCTATTATACCTTCATAAAAGTTCAATATTCCTCTAAAGCCGGGTATACTGCAACACACCTGGACATGCCTTGGCTATTGTATACCTCGACACATGGAGATACTGGAACTATTTCGTGAATAGGAGCAAATTAGGAAAATAATGCATATTCTGCCTCAGGCACACTATGCCCCTTACTCAAGATGAATATCCACTTGTAAAGGTGTTCAGATATCGTGGCATGTTTCAGACCTCACAGGGGGTCCCTGTCTCCGTACTTCATACTCCGTACAGCAAATTAATGTACTCAGACCCCCAGAGGATGAAATCACCTGTCACATAAAAATGAAAGCCCCTGAGACAGGGAGTTATGTATGGAGTAAGGCGTTGGCCTATTGGATGCGCTAGCCTGAACTAGCGCGTATGTATGTAATAGTTTTTGGATCGGCCCTTCTTCACACCTTGTACCTCTTGTCCTTTTGTCTCATACCAATTCTCTATCCGACTTTGACGCGTTGAACCCGAACCCTCCTGGGAACATGCAGTGGTATCTGCCTGTATCCGATTAGTCGTCACAACAATCCCGTTTCGACCTGATTTCAGGAGCACCCCTGTGCTCCGCATATGCGTTTTCAGATTCCCCTCGATTTGCATACCCGCCCTTGTTCGACTGACGTACGCTCAATAATGTCCGATAACAATCCCCATCACCCTGGCGTGCGCAGCTTGTTAGCCAAGTTTGAAGGTCAAAGCCCCATCGCCTCCCCGCCTCTCCGTGGCCGATCCCCAACTTCCTCAGACTCGTCAGCAACAGTTCGGCAGCTGTCCAAGGTCCGGGCTAGCTTTATCACTGTGGAGGGGGTCATTCAGTCGAATCCTTCTTCGCCGTTGAGGAAAACAAATGCGCGCAGCGACAGTCCTGGAATGTTTGGACCGAAAATCAACTCGGCGGATGCGGAGTCGGGACAGCAGGGCATGATCTCCCCCACCGCACTCAGTCGCCTAAACCACACAGAGAACGCGACTCTGGAACAGATAATGGCTGAGAGTCGACCGGCGGAGTCTATTGAAACCAAGCGTGAACGGAATCGGACTGCCAAGGAGGAAAGCGCGGCGCGCACCGAGACTGAAGTTCGGTCGCGAACCAGCCCGCGAAAGCAGACAGGGGGGTCAACCTCCGCAGGTTCCAAGTCACCAAGCTCCGACACTCCGTCGCAAAAGTCAGATTCATCAGTAGTGGTTAAGAGGAAGCTTTCTTCCGTTGGGTCTGCCCGCAATGCAGCCAGAAAGTCCGTGTCAACTACTGCAGCTTCAACTGGTGCGAAGGCTGCTTCTCACCATGCAAGCCCCAAGCCCACAGCTCGGGAAGTGGCTAAAGAGCGCGCCAACTCTCTCGCCCACAAGCCCAGTCGTGTCTCACTGAATCCCAAGCCAACAACAGCACGGTCAACCCGCGGCTCAGCACCGGCACAAGATACTTCAAAGCCTCATGCCGCAGGTGTATCCAGCAAGCCAGTATCCAAATCCCCATCGAAACCTGCGCGTGTACCCGGCTCGATGAATACGTCAACACGCGCGTCCACCGCTAAGCCAGGAAGCACAGCGGCTCCGAGCACTCGCACTACTACCAGTGCATCAACCCTCACAAGAAAACCTTCAACTCTCAAAGGCGCAGCTAAGGTTCAGTCGCGTGCCACTACTCCTAGTGCCAGCGTTCACAGACAAACTTCTCGCCCTTCGTTGTCCGCTCAAGCAGCTAGTGATACAAGCCCCAAACATGTCAATGAGGGTTTCCTTGCGAGAATGATGCGGCCTACTGCTAGCTCTGCGAACAAGACCCATCCCCAGGAAAAGACCGATGCAAAGCCTATCACCAGGACAACCTCTGTTTCCAGGTCCCCCAAGGCGTCGTCTGGGAGGGTGCCAGATCGTGGCGTCCACCAAGTGAAGCCTAAGACCACCGCCCTTCGATCTCAGAGTCAGAAATCCCAGGCTCTGAACAAGGAGACTGCGCCACCGAAAGATGGACAGAAACCTTCTCAAAAGAAACAGGAGATTGAGAAAGAGAACATTGTGGAACCTGAAACCGTGAACCTCGCTGCGATTGCGGCTGTGGAGACCGCTTCCCCTGCTCAGGTTGAGGAGACAGTGACCGAGAGCTCCTCTCCCATCCCAGTTGAAAATGCTACTGAGGTGCCGGCTGAGGTCGATGCTCCTGTTGAGGCCCATATTGAGCCCATCGCTGAGGATGCTGAGGAGGATAAGGCTGCTGAAACCACCACTACAACCGAAGAGATTGCAGCAGAGCCCGTGGCAATCCCAACGGCTGACGATCAAGTGAAGATCGGCGAGAAGCAAGAATCCTTGATTTCCGAGCCAGAGCTCCAGGCCGAGGCTCCCGAAAAAGAAGATGATGCGCCAGTGAAGGAATTTACTGTCCCTGAAGCTTTGACGGAGGTCGCCGAGCTCAAGTCCACTGATGAGCCTGCAACTGAGGCTGAATCGAGCAACGTCGCCATCGATATTGCCAATCTGGCATTGAACTAGACGCTCTGAATCAGAACTGCACTGCGTTCATCTCAAATGGATTTCGCTGGTCCATCTCCGCTTCTGGTAAAGTCTTGGAATAACCTTTTAATCTTCTCCGATAATACTCCTCCCCATTGTCTTCTATCTCACCAAGCGTGAGCCCCTTTCCATTCGTCGAGGCTTGCCCTCAACCTTTTCACCATCTATTCTTCCCTGTCTATCTCTTACTCTATGCTAGCATTTTCACATCTATCAGTGTTTTGGGTTGTCTTGTTATCCTTTGTTTATCTCTTGCATACTCTGTACCAATTTCTTGAGCATATTATTCTTAGCGCTTAGGGGCATTATCCAATTTAGCATCTTGATTTATCAATCTAGCGGGGCTCAAAGCTTTCATACTACCATTTTCTCGGTTCTTATTTAGTCGCTTCATTTTCTCATCAAATTGAGAAGCTAGATGATATTCCCATAGTACTGCTCAACAGCTGGCCTAGTAATAACAAGCACTCAATTGACCTTGACCAGCAGAGATCTCTTGAAAAATAAAGATGCAGATTCTCAAACTCCCACTTAAATAAAAGGCTCAAAGCTTCCTCTCAAGTTTCTTCAGGAACCTATTCACACCACCTTCCAACCGCTCTGCCCTGTCCTCCAATTTCCTCGGCCGCTGTCCAGGATTCTTCATGGCCTTCTGTGCATATTTCTGATAGTGAGAGTTAGCCTCCACTTCAGTGGGTCTATATAATTGGTTATGAATATCATATTCGGAGCCGAAACGCTGGTGTTGTTGTTGTTGTTGTTGTTGTTGTTGTTGTTGCTGTTGCTGCTGCTGCTGCTGCGCCTGAGTCTGGTCATAGGAATGATGCGAGAACCCGCCTATCGGCACCGTCGGTCCAGCCTGATATTGAGGCGGCGACTGGGCTTGGGCAGCCCCATAGACGTGTTGGTCATAGAGATGGGCATTCGGGTCCTGCGGCGGCGGAGCGAAGGACATGGAACCTTGGCGGCTGGAACTGTACTGTTGAGCTCCCTGTCCGCCAATGAACGACGGCGAGTATGAAGGCACAGGCATTCCCGGGCTGGAGCGGGCGGTGGAGAAAGAGTTTGAATGCTGTCCCGCACTGGGCGGAGGTGAGGCGAATGCTGGAGGGCCTGCGTATTGCAACCCCGGGGTTGAGGGGGGTGGGGACGCGAATCCGCCCACGACTCCTGCGCCCCCCATCATTTGGTGCGGGGGCGTATATGGCATGCCGCTGTCGGCTGCCACTGCGGCTGCGAGGCCGGTGCCGCTCATCCCGTCCTCTGGCGGCGGGGTCTTCTCGCGGTGTTGGATTGGCTCTGGGGCAGCTGGGGCGGCTGGATTGTACGGGAGCGGGGCAAAGCTAGCTGGTTCTTTTCTTTCCTCCGCGGGAGTAGAACCAGCGCTTAATTGTTGATCAACTGGAGGTCCGCTTGGAGGAGGTGGGGGAAAGCTGATGGTCTGTGGGAGGGCTTGTGCCACTGATGCCGCTGTGCTTGTAGGCTCGGATCGTGAGTTGCGTGTTTGACCATTCTGGTAGGCAGGGTCGGAGACTGCAACGGTTTCAAGTTGCTGGACTACAGAGCTCATGGTTTGCTGTGGCAGCGGTTCTGGCTCTCGGTCTGTCTCGACCTGGTCACTGGATAGAAGCCGGATGACAGTGTCCAGAAATTCGGTTGAATCTTCTTCGGTCCAGAAGTAGATATCCAATGTATGTAGGCGAGGGAAATCGCGGACATCTTTGGGGTCATCGCGTGGGTCTCCACTAGGCAGACGCCACTCATGTTGAAGGGTATCTTGTCCATATTGCTGTTGGGGCAAGGCCGTGTGAGTATCAACCGTTAATGTACAAAGTGTCGGGAATTGAGCAGAGTGTCGTATATGAACATTGTTCAAGCCCCCACAGAATGCATCCTGTTCTGGAGATCCTGGATTATTGGCAATTTCAACCCGGGACTTGTTCTGAGAAGCATCATGGTAAATATAAACATAGGAGCCTTTATCAAAACGGTGGTGATATGGTGAAGGTCTTCGGGTTGGCTCAGTGAAATAGTAGTGGATATCCGCAAAACTATCTCCGCCGTTAGACACAATCCGAGAACTGCTTCATATCGATCTGCGGGGAAGTCAGTTCAACTCACATAGTCACAAGGCGCTCTTCGCCCGCCGATGGTGGCATGTCTGACAATTCAAAGTATGGAATGCAAGTATACAACGAGAGCAGCAAGTAGTTGGGGGAAAGAAAAAGAGGGACTTACCTTTATTATTTATACCTTGGACTGAGGGGTACTCAACCTGTGAAACGCCAGCATCAACCGCCATGCAAGTTGGGCGCTTAGAAGATGAGTGTGATGTGATGTGATAGGACGGTACTTGTACTTGGCTATCACATCTATCCGCTGTGGGCGAGAAAGTACCGGTACCTGGACAAGACCGCGACCCGGAAGTACCTTTTATCCGAAAATTTCCATCCCAAATCATCGCATCTTCAATCGGCGCTACAACCACCTCCTGCCGTGTCTTTGCTTCCCCAGACAATTGCAGTCCATTGTGGTCCTTTTCGGTCTTCCCTTTCGTGTTATCTGGGATCTCCGTTCTTCTTCTCTTCCGAAATTGTTCAATTCCACCACTCTCTTTCCTCTCCGAACGGCCGCCGGTAGAGCTTAATTGCTGCCGTCGCGAAATCAAGATGTCGCTCGTCAACCTTTCTGCTGTCTGCTCCCACCTGAACAATGCTACCAAGGCCCGTCTCGCCCTCACCTCTATCCCTAACAGCAACCTCCACCTGAAGCTCTCCCTCGCCCTCCAAAACTCCGGCTACATCTCCTCGGTGGCCCGCGGAGGCCCGACTCCTCCTCCAGCCCATGGCATCCTCGGTTTCCCTGCAGTCAACGATGAGGTCGAAGGCATTGAGACAATAACGCGTGATAATGTCGCATCAAGGCGGCTGTGGCTGGGCCTGAAGTACTGGCAAAACGAGTCAGTCCTGGGCAAGATCCAGATGGTCAGCAAGCCCACCCGACGGGTGAACCTTGATGTGGAGGGACTGCGCCGAGTTGTGCGTGGTGAGCAATCCGGGTTTGTGGCCGGACTTCGCTCGCCGGGTGAGAGTCTGTACCTCTCTACAGACCGAGGGATTCTAGAAGCTCGCGAGTGTGTTGAGAAAAAGCTTGGTGGGCTGGTTTTGTGCCGTGTGCTATAAGTTTGTGATTGTCCTAGTGGCTAATCTCTGATTTGGGGGAGCTACCCACCGGGGAGATGTGTTTCTCTTCTTGCATTTACTTTGGAGTTTGTTGGTTAGTCGCAGCGCTTTCTCTTTTCGAGATTAGTCTTTTTGTGACTGTTGGGATAATACCTGGGTCAAGGATCTGTATATTAGATGTCTGCGTATCTCGCATTCTGTGTGCTCTGCTGGTGATTTTGCAGCTGTCCTCAATGTGACACAGTGTATAGATTATGACTTGAAATATGTCCGTACTCCCCATGGATGTGCTTACTACAATATAGTCGTAATCCTTCTCAGGCTGATTTTACAGGTATACTCATGTTTCCAATATTCCAGGAATGGTATGGTGTATTAAAGGCCATGACCAAATCATAGGCAAGAATAGTCCGCTACTTGTGCGGTCTCTGTTCTTCACAATGTAATTCAATAATCAAGTCTTACGGCAAAATCATCCAACGTATGAATATGGACTTCACTTTCTATTGAATCATGTTAGAATTTCGGGTCTCTCGCAAGTGTTTCGAGTCTACCGGAGCTTTTTTTTCCGGCCTGCAAACACTCCCAATGGTGATCCGTCCGTCTCTTGGGCTGTAATTTACGTTCTTCGACAATTTTCATCCTTTATCTCATCTCATCTTGGTCTTGTCCTCTCATGAAGGCTTTGTCCCCCTGACTTCAGTGATCGGGCAAAGAACTATCAACCATGGCTGAACCGCAGAGTGTTAAACGCGCGCGATCCAATACTATTGGCGATGCCCACAACACAACAACGCCATCATGGGAAGAGATCTCCCAGCGCGTCCAGACTCTCGACGAACAGAGTATCGCCAATATTCTCGTATACGCAGCGCAAATCCATCCTGATATCATGAACATGGTGGACCACGCCATTCATGTAAGCCGGGAGAGAGAGAGAAATACCATCATCAACTTCGACGAAGATTCGAGAGAAGTCTGGCAATTGATTAATATCACACATCGCTACGAGCGCAGTTCAAAGCAGTACGAAATAGCGGGCGATGTCGTTGAGGAAGTCGTCGATACCATCGAATCAATCGCGGAAGAGTGTGGACCTTCTGTAAACCCACAGACACGCTACAATGGGCTCTCCGTACTGCGAAAAATTGGCAAGACGATTGCGCTTTCTACCAAGGATACACTAGGCCGTGAGGTGCAGGAATCGTTCCAATCCGATAGCTCTCTTGTGGATGCGATGATAAAAATCATCAATTCTATGACAGCGGATGAAGTCCGAGCGATCAGAGAGGATAACTCAAGTCCAACAGCATTGTGGCCAAAATTACAGGAATTGGAAAAGCTGGCCGAGACTGAATGCATTCATCCTGGACTAGAAGAAGTGTTGGATCTATTGTATCCTGGTCGAGGTGAGGATGAAGAAGAAATGGATGAAGAGGGAGAGGAAGGGGAAGACGAGGACGATGATGGAAAGGAATTGGACACAGAGGAGTATGATGTCTATGAAGTGCAGCCATGAGAGGCATCTTTGGAATTGAACTAGATCATTGTTCAGGCATCAAGAATATAAGGACGGACTTCAATATGAGTGAACTAAATAGAAATCTCCGAGCATTTCAGTCGCTTCTCTCTAGCATCATGTCCAATATTATTTGAGGTGTTCTTAAGGTGATGCGGTACTGTGTTATGTCGTATGTAGTTGTGATGTCGCACAGTTTTGGCAATCCAGAGTTCGAGTTTCCCCCCACACCAAAGCCCCTCAAAGCTTCTCATATTCTCACCTTCAACTTCCAAAATGACTGACACAGCGAAGAAAGTCCTGATATCTGGTGGCACGGGTTTTGTAGGCTCGGCCGTGGTGCGGGCTCTTGCAGAAAAATACCCAAACTTTACCATCGCCGTCATCGACCAAAACCCTCCACGAGCCGAGCACGTCCTACCAGAAAGAACTACGTGGATCCAGGTGGATATTACTTCAACTGAAACATTGAGCAAAGCATTTGAGGCTGTGAAGCCAGATATCGTTGTCCACACTGCTGGAGTCGTCCCAGATCTGGCCGAACGGTTTGGTCGCCGACTGGAACAGGAGGTATGGAAGATCAACTTTGAAGGCACACGGAATATTCTGGATATATCCAAGCACAGCGGGGTTGAAGTATTCATATACACGAGCAGTTGCTGTGTGGTGATCGATGATACGCGTACCGCTCATCCTAACATCAATGAAGAATGGCCATCGGCATTTAGGTCAACCATATATGGAGAGTCCAAGGTTGGAACTACCGATCCCATCAGCAAGGTTCCCGGCATCGATATGAGTTAAATTACTAACACAATTTGGGATGGTACCTAGGCTGCTGCAGAAGCACTTGTTCTAAAGGCCTCAAGCAGTAAAATGGTGACATGTGCCCTCCGGCCATCGGTACTATGCGGACCAGGAGACTACCAGCTATTACCAGCTATCCACGCATGTATTGCCAAATATGAGACCCCTTTTTTGATCGGAGATGGCTTCAACCTGTGGGATATCACCCATGTCGACAATGCCGCCCATGCTCATATCCTAGCCATAGAGAATCTGCTATCATCTCGCACGGCTGCAGGCGAGGCATTTTTCATTCAGAATAACGAACCTATCGCCTTTCGTGATTTTTGTCTGGCAATTTGGGCGCATTTTGGGCATGTCCCCCCTTTTCAAATGCATATCCCTAAGAGTCTGGCTTACTTCGCCGGGTTGGTGTGTGAGACTGTCACCTGGTTGACGGGAACAACGACAACTTTGAGCCGTGGAAGTGTACAAGATGCATGCGCCATTCGATATGCCAGTGGCAACAAAGCCAAGGAGATTCTGGGGTACGAGGCGCGCATAGGTATCGAGGAAGCCATCCGTTTGAGTTGCGAGGTAAGTAAACACCAAGCGTAACCTTTTCTATTGCCGTACCCAACAAAGCAATTTAGGATTATGCTTCTCGTCTCGGGTTCGAATTGCCTCCTCAATAGTCAAAGTCGACAAAAACAGTAACGTCCATGTTGATGGATAATCACATATAGTTTCCGGATCACCGGCAAATGACTAGGGTTAAGGACATCCTGGAAATACTTCGCTAATTATGATTTTCTGGGGCTTGAGAGGCGTTCCTTGGCTTGAATGATCTCATCAGATCTCCTTTTGCCGTCCAGGGTTTTATTGATAACGATATTTCTAGACATTCTCGACCTTGGAAGATGGACATTGGGCTTCTTGTTGGGCTGCAAGGGTAGATCGCATGCCATCGGAACAGCTGAGCTCTCCACAATTGGAAAATCTGGTATCTAATTTCGTCTTTGTTTCACCCGGATCTTCAGAAGAGTCTCCAGAAGGGCGAGAGACATGGCCCATGCGGCTTATTGCATTGGGCCCCAAAAAGCCCGAGTGCCCAACCCAGATTAACTGCGCGCGTCAGGATTTCCATTTGCTACCTCGAGTCATCTTTTCATTTCTTCCAGGACCTTCGCGGGTGCAGATCGCCTCTATCTGCACATTTGGGTATCCATAGGTCGATGTCCAATTCCAGAACCCCTGTCCTTGCATTTCCTACCCAACATCAGCCTTGCTGCCCGAGGCATTGCCCCAATACAATTCTCGAACAGATGTTGGTGCGGCACCGGCAGATACTAGTGCTCCTCCCTTGATCCATGAAGATCGAGACTTTCGATGGAATGTTTACCGTCCGCATTCATGTCATGCACCCACAGAGGCGTCTCACGGCGCCTCGGCTGCCAACGAGCTTTACACACCGGTCTTATTCTTAATCGATCGGGATCTTCAAATGTACACAGTACGGATAGTTCATGTGTTACGCAATTGGGTTTCTTGAAATCGACAATGTGCAGGCAACACAGGCCTCATCTCCATATTTTGTCTCCACTAACGCCACTGGCGTAAAGTCCTCTAGCGCGGCTCTGAATCCAGTTATACTGCCGTTGCATACATCCGGGTGGGCTCTGATCCCCTTTGTCAGGCACACTTATCGATTTGTCCAACCCGGGAAAAGTGCCTTTAAAAAAAAAGGAACTATAATATACCTCCCCTTTGCTCGTTGGTGAATTCATCGAGAACTTTCTCGATAGATATCTTCTTTTCCTCGCTACTCTTCTGAATCTTATTCTCACTTGTTATATTAGGCTGTGGTACTACTACGGTCTTACTTCCTTCATGCTTCCTGTCCTTCCTCATCCATTGGCGGCTGGACCAGGCTATCCATTCTCAGCAAGTCTCGGTTCTTGTGCAAGCTCTATCAACCCTAAATTTGATACTCGGTCTCTCCATAGGTTAGCAGAATCAGCATCGCTTCTCTATTTCCGTGCCAAAACTCTTTGGAATCCGAAACTCATACTCCGTAGCAGCACCATGGCTCAGCACCCTATGTATGGAAACCCAGCAACCACCCCGCTGGTCTATCAACAAAGGTATTGTTTGGCCGTCGTTCATTCCATTGCAAATTCCTCCCAGGCTGTCATCGACAAAAATCGATTTCGTTCCTTTTGCTAAGCGGCGAAAGGTCACCATCTACTCCCCACGGGTATGGCTACAGAGACGACCGTCAAGTGCCTTTCGGTCCAATGGATTCTAACCGTCAGGCCCATTACCATGGAGGCCCAGTCCTTCCGGATGGCCACAACCTCATGATGAGCCCACCTGCGGCACGTTTATCCTACCCCCCAGCTGGACTGGTCCACGTACAACCCAGGACTCATGAATGGAGCCACCCAAACCAGATGCCTCGGGAATCCCCGAGGCGGGACCTTGGAACAATGAGCGCCCCGGAAACCCCGGAGTATATCATGGAAAGAAACAGCCAGCGGACCGGCGAGAGATCCAGAGGAAGCCCACACTATCATTCCCAGAGACGGACATCCAACCGGGATGAATTTGATGGCCCGCATCAGTTCCTGGAGCCGCCTTCTCCACAGGCTGTCGCAGCCCAGGATAAAGAGCTGCCCCAGCTCCCTACTAACCTCGATGCCGGCGAGCAAGACAGCATTCTCCACAAGGTCAACGACCGCCTGTCCCAGTGTGCCTATGACTTCATCGCAAAATACCAGTTCCGGGTTCCTATCGAGCAGGACAAGAGACCCGTCAAGGTCCCCTCGGACCGCGAGTGGACCGAGTGGGTATACCTCTTGAAGCGGCTGGCTACCACACGCCGCATCCCGGCTCATCTCTTGTACAACCGCCAAATTAAGCAGCTCATCACTGTCCTGGAGAACTCCCTGGAGATGCGCCATGCTGCCAAGCACCAGTCTAGGCCAGTCAAGGACGACCGCAACGTGCTGCAGCTCATTTCGGCGGGGACTCAGGTTGCGAAGATCCTTAGGGATTCTAGCGCCATGCAGTATCTCGATAGTCTTTATGTGGACACCGAGAAATTGATCCTAGACCGACGCGGCCGTCGTGTAAGATTCGCAAACACTTGAATCCACTGGAAAATGGCCGTTTTTAAACCCTCCGCTTGGATTCCACTGTTCACTTTTTGTTGTCTTCCCGTGGAAGCCCATTGGATTGTCCTGTTTTTCTCTGCTTTCCTTTTTTCCAAGTCCAATTTCGGGATACTCCACTGTCAAGTTTTGAACCCCCTTGGAGGGAAAGTCTTGGTGATTTCCTATCAGGACAAAAAGAGCCCAAGCAGCTACCCAGCCCAGACGAAGGAAGGATTGGAACTCAACCCCTTCAGGCTGGAAAACGATCGACCAGATCGCCGCATGTCAGAATGTTTACATCTGCCCCGGAATTATGTGACAGCCAGTACAAAAGAGATCAGTAATAGGGTGGATTTGTTTGTTTTTTCAGTTTGGTTTCTATTTTCATTATGGCGTTCGGGTTGGTTGTCTTGATATCTTTTTATGCTTCATGCTTCATGCTTCATATGTTTCCCTTATGCCACACGACTATGCCATACGACTATGTCATGATTTCGGGTTTTTTGGTTGTATGCAGTACGAGGTTATGTTTGTGATTTACGTTGTCTCCAATTTGATTCGCTTGGGTGGTCCATTTCTGTTTTTCCCTCTGCTAATATTCCATACGTTCCAGGTTTTGGGCTGCATTGTTCCTCCACAAGTATAGTCTCATGGCTCTACTGGGCTGTATATACTACAGCTTCACCCAATTGACTCGGACTTTTAAAGAAAGGGCCAAAAAGAAACAAAGAAAAGACGAAAAAATAGTTTCCCTGGGAATCGAACCCAGAACCTTTCCGGAACACTTGCGAATCGCATTTGTTAACGGAAAATCATAACCGCTAGACCAGGAAACTGCTCGGCCACTTGGGCCAATTGATGGAAGTCACAGCCATCTTTGGCTTTATGAACTATATTTAGTGGTATGATAACAACTACATCCATCAGCGATGGATTTATTCACCATAAAATAATAACTCCATGGTCATTCCAGGGTTAGATGCTAATATAGTACCAGTAATTAAAAGGTGGATCTATGTGAAGAGTTTGAGGCATCTATTCTAATTCAATTCCATCTATATATTAGGACATGAATATCGACATGAGCAACTGTATTACATTCGTAGCAACAATCACCAGGATTGTTTCTTTGCCAAATCCTGATTTGACAACAAAAATGCATATTAGTTCTTCCCCTCGGAATCGATTACCACTCTCTGAGCTTCCAGACTACTGTTGTCTGTTTGTTCCTCTTCCTCCGCCTCGAGCTCGGCGACATTCCAGTTGCCGAACACCGCCATAAGCGTGAAGGGGACTGTAGCACCCCATAGTGCAAAGCCTAGCGCCATCTGGTTGATGTTGGCCCAGTGGGTTGTGCCGACCGCGTAGGCAATCGTGCTGCCGATGGACTCCCATGATCTCAGGATGCCGGTTGTTCTGGCGATATCGCCATCTTTCTGCGCTCCCTTGATCTCGGCCATCAACCAATAGATGTATGTCTGCAGCATCTCATAGAAGAACCGGAAAAAGATATAGACGGTGAAAGCCGAGTTGAAGAAGGGGCCATCACCCAAGTCGAAGGCCGGGGGATCGGTCATGCGGGAGAGTTTCGACTCGACGATGGCGTTCCATGTCCAAGACGTTGTGACAAACACAGCGACGAATATGTATACAACTTTGGATCTGGTTCTTCGAGACATAAACTTCATATCGAGGAATAAGCCCGTCACTATGTTGGCGCTGGCGCCGACCACAGCTGTGAGGAAAGACGCAAGGGCCCTGGAGCGGACGGTGAAATAAGCTAGGTTTACTGTCAGCGACGCCATTCATTACCGAGAAAGGAGGATTGGAGATGTCATACTTGTCAAATAGTTTCCCTGATAAGTTGCACCAAACTGTCCGGCGAGGAACACCGGAATGAGTAGCAGCATGTACTTATTCGAAAGCTGCTTCCAGATAGCGCGAGCCTCGATAGACAAGCTCGTTTTCTTCATGTAAGGGATCTTGGTGCCATTGCTTCTGATAACATCTTGTGGCTGTGACAACAGCAACGCAAATGGAGCACCGAGGGATGAGATGGCAACAAGCCCCAAGTATGTTGTGTAGGTGACCTTGCCGACATGCGCAGTCTTGACATTGAGAGCGAGGGATATGGCACCGCCAACAAGCGGTCCCATCTGCCGGATAGACATCCAGATTCCAACGTACCTAACATAAAAAAGGTCAGTGGGATATACGACTGGATGGTTTGGGAGTCTCGACTTACCGGCCTCTTTTCTCCTCCTCTGGATATCCGACTGCAATGGCAGCCTCACTAGCCCATAGAAGAGACGCTCCAATTCCACAAAGAGCGGCCGCGAGCAAGAGAAACCACTCATTGCCATAACGATTGTTGCAGTATAGACCAGCCGCATAGGGTGTGTAGAATGCGGCTCCGATGAACAAGGTCCATTTCGCGGTGATCTTATTGGTGACACCGCCGGCAAGGAAACAGCCTACGGACATGAGTCCGTATGTCAAGGCATTGGCGGCATTGTTCAAGTAAGGCTGCACAATGATATGTTAGCGGTAGTTGAGCAGATCCCCAACACTCCAATGACTTACTTTGGCATTTCCTCCAGCTCCAAGATTATTGAGAGCAGTCCAGATACCGGGTTCGCAGAAGGCTACTAATCCCACGATGACAATCTGGAATAGACATGACCGGTATAAGCGGGTCACACGTTCGAGAATCATGATGGATGTGAGAGGTATACAATCCGGAAATATACCGGAGACAGCCACTATTAGTACTACATGGCGATGGGGAGCCAAGATCACAGAATTATTTTGAACGAAAAGAACACAGCACGTCAGAACCCATTATAATCGCGATATCTTGGTTTTATCTTTCGCCGGTAGAGCCCCACAGCTACTAGGAGGATAACTGGTGCTCAGTTGTATACTGGAGACACTTGAAGAACTCTGAATTAGTGTCGAATCGGTAACGGGAAATACGGAGTCGTGGGAGATAATCGTCGATATCCGAGGTTCGGAATGGTGCAAAGTGAGCCATTCGTCTCCAAAAGCACGTAATATTGGGGGGCGTGTCGACAGGGCCGGGCCACAACAGACTTACTTACGAGTTATTTACTCTTGTTATATGATATGTACCTTGTTTGAAATATGTTGTAGTATCTTGGCAGGATGAGGTCTTGGAAACTCCGTTATAGGACTTTATAAGAGATGTTATAGGCTATAAAATGTCTTGGCCAGTAGATCTTGGGGCCCGCCGACTTCTCTCCTATTTCCTACGGAGGAGTCCGTCGTTAAGAATTGCAAGGTTAAATTAGAAGCTCGGAAAATCAGACGTTTATTTTTTTGTAGTTCTGTTGTAGCCAAATTGTCATTGTACTAACAAATCCGCTTCAATTCCCAAGTACCGCTAAATTACAATAATGTACACCTAGGTTAATCTAGGAAATCCGAGAATCAAAAGCTAGCCATCTCAATCCAACTGGCCACAAATGCCAGTCGGCGCCCTCGATCAGCAGCCATACGGCGCGAGAACTCTTCAAAGTTAAGTCTCGCACCGTGACCACGTTCCTTGTTTTCACGTTCCACCTGGTCCAAATAGACCCACCGAGCTAGAGTCCGGGGCGAAGGTCGGCGTGGGGCAGTGTCACGAGGCAGGTCATTGACCCGATGAGGAGGTGGGAGTGGTTGCATAGGAGAAGGAGGAAGCTTGGGGGCTGTGGCTTCGGCTTCTGGGGAGGAGCGGGGAGAAGATGGGGCGGGAAGAGAGATGGTCCCGGGCTGGAGTCGGAACCGATCAGGGAGATCAGGGTTTGTGCTTCTAATTGGTGATTCCTCCAAGTCGGAGTCTGATTCAGCAATCACTTCCTGGGTCATCACGAATGGCTCGTCGGGACGATGCTGTGGGAGAGTTGGATCGTAGTGGAGTCTTTCTTCTTCAACAACCGGGCTGGATGGCCCCACACCAGACGCAGAGGCAGCGACATCATCGCCATAATCAGACGAAGTGGCGGACGTTGTGGCGGATTCCACATATGGTCGTGCTTGCCCAAATCCAGTATCTCTTTCGGGATCGGCGAGATGAGTTGGTCGCACGTCGTCATCGTCTTCATACTCATCCTCATCACCCTCATCTGAAACGGTGGGCCCCGGCGACGGAGCTAGCACTGGTCCGGTATTCTCAGGTACCAGGACTGGGCTCCGAATCTGGTAACCAGCGCGCTGTAATAGATCATCAAGTGGCTGACTGTTGATAATTTCCTCGAGTTCCTCCTCCACTGGGGGATTCTCAGTTGTGGTGCGTTTTGAGGGGTCCTCTTTTGCTGCGAGTTCAATCTCGCGGGCCCACAACTTGCGATCAGCTTTCGTGCGATAGACCTCCATCATAAGGTCCTCTTTTGGCTTGAATAGAATATCTAGAAGCTCGTTGAATCCCTGTTGCGTGACTTGATACAGGATTTCTTTCCCAACGTCCCTTTCGACCTCTGGGATTTCAAAGCCACCCCATCGCTCGCCAACAGGAATACTCCGGGACGAGGTGGATGGGTTAGATCGAATGTCGTACTCATCGTCGTTGAGATCATCCTGGAATCGCACCTTGGACGAGGACCGCGAACGGAAAGAGGGTGGGCGCGATACCGATTCATCTAGGTCTTCATCATCGCTGGAGTCATCGATGACCGGATCCCTTTCATACCCTGCAGGGATAGTGGCGCCATCTTCTTCGTCTGTATAGAAAGCCCGGCGCCTCCAACGTTCGTCAATTCCACGCTGACGAGCGTCAAACACACGTCTCTGATCGTCTTCGCGCATTCTATGATAAACAGCATCCGCGACGCGAGCCCGATCAATTGGATCCGTGATTTCCCGAGCGGGAATATAGGTCCCGAGAGCTGCAATGATATCTTCTTCGAGGATGTGTTCAACTGGGGGCCAGGTGCCACTGGCCACCGACGAGCTAGATTGGTCTGATCCACTCTCGCTAGCACCATCCTCATCTTCTTCTTCGTCGTCTTCATTTTGGTCACTCTCTATGGCATCTGACGGGCGAGGAGTAGTCTCGGCGGGTGCTAGTAATGTAGATGGGAACAATGGCCTCATTCGACTAAATTGTGCTCTGACAGCAGCATCACCCACGACCAAATGCCGATCACCAGTATCATCTCCGTCCTGTCGCAAGATTCCTTCATTGTCAATGATTTCCATGTCCCCCTCAGAATTCATACTCTTGCCTTCGCCTGTGCGAGAACGTTCACCTGAAGGGATGCTGCCAGGGAACGCAGAGCTGATAGGCTGGCTACCAAGTACCACATCACGGGCTCCACCCTCTAGGAAGTCATCCTCCATGCCAGCAACCATGTCCCTTGTAAGCTCTCGGCTCAGCGCATAGTATGCCCTGAAAACCCGAAGGAAGTCCTTGCGTTCGACGAAGCCATCCCCATCGATGTCGTAGCCGCGGAACACCCGTCGCAGCCGTTCGTCATTGCTTTTATTGTTGAGACTGGCCAAGCCCTTCAGGAATTCCTCAAACCCGATAAGATTGTCGCCATTGGTATCATAGAATGCGAACATTCGGTCGTAAATGAGACTCGGAGACGGCGGCCGGATAGAAGTATTAGGCACAAAGCATCGGTCGAATGTTTTGCGATCGATGGCCATATGCAACTTGTTCGGATCGTTCGCCCACTCATAATTGGCCAAACAGCGGAACTGATCCCAGAGTGCATCAAGCTCCGTGTTTTCGAAATTGCAGTCTTTCATAAGACGCTTGGCAAGAGGGCGTGGAAGACTGCGCGGGAGCATTGAAGGCTTCCCGGGATACCATACAGGCTGGGATTGACGAGGGTTTCCTAAGAATGGGGCTGGAATCCGCACTTTGTAGAACAAATGTGTTTTGATATGGACCTGCATTGCCTCGCACGTCTCACAGAGATCGTAGTCGATGCAATTGGCACATCGGTATCTGATACCCTGAATCGGCATGGCACCACAGCTGTTGCAAGTAACCCCACGATGGATATAGCCGTCCCTCCGCGCCTGATCCTCAGCAATATGGTAAAGTAGGTTAAGCAGGTTTTGACCTTCCCTATTGGAAGGATCGTTGTTTCCATCACGCCATGAGAAGACGCTCTGGTCGTCCACCACTGTCTCACCGCCGTCAATATTTTGTGCAGGGGCAGACACGTCTGGAAAAGTGGAGGTTGAGAGAGTGACACGTTCACCGTTCTGTCGTCGCCGACGCAGCTCTTCGCCGTAATTCGTATCTCCGTTGAACCGGACCAGAGCCCTTTCAATACCAGCTCGGGAGATACCTCGGCGTTGGAGTTGTTCTGTCAGGTATGTTCTTTCTGCGGTATCCTCTGGGAGAATATGTGCAGATGGGAAATCGAGTGCAAGGAAGGATTCAAGAAACGTATCCTCCATCATCTCGCGCATGCGCTCTGCATGAGCAGGCGGGACGCCCACTTCTTCCATTAGCTGGTCGCGTGTTGCGAGGAGTGATGGAAGAAGACCGCTCTCCACGCGACGCCCATCCTCCGTCTCGATGCGAAATGTCCCATATACACCATTCTGACGCTCTAGCTGTTCAAGGTGGGTAATGGCTCGATAAGACGGAGTATCAGCGATCCCAGGTTCTTCGGCTTCGGTTGGTCTCGTCCGGCGCACAGCATTTCGACGTCGGAGTGAACTTGATGACGGCTGCGAAATGACATTGTTGTGAACATAGAGAATCGCATAGGCAGCAGCGACACCAGTGAAGAGGTAGAGGATAGGTCGATATCGTGCTAGTGAGACTGGCCCTGGGCGCGAGTCGGACATGACGGAGGTTTGGTGGAATTTGAGCTAGCGGAAGCTACAAAAAAACATCAGGAACACAAGGTGTAGCGCATTCTGATCACAGCCGGATAAGCAGATCAAGTCAGACCCGCAAAGTGTCAATCAAGACGCTCAATTAGAAAGGATATGACAGTCAATTTGGAGATGGCATTTCCGAGGTTGAAACGTCAACGGGCTGGTTGCTGACTGGAGCCCGGCCGCTCTGATTAGTAAGCTATACTTGAGCTCCAGGGCTGCCCAGCAGAGCCCTACAACATCATACCTACACCTACGATGTACGAGAAGCCTCAAATTGTTTTAAAAAATGGGAGATGATATATTAGCTGCTCTGTGTATTGGAGGCCTATGCTCTTTTCTTGATAGAATTTTGAAATTGATACGAAACTTCTTTTATATCCTATATCCAATATGTCCTTGGTAGCTTCTTTGGTGTATATATGCGATAAACATGGACAATTTTCAAGGCCAATCGCAATGCTAGATAGACATGCACCATAGTAATTTCCATGCAAGTTTTCGCTTTTCAAAGAACGGAAATCTAAAACTTTTTTTTGAAGTATAGCTTCACCTGTGAATTAGCGGTTGAGTTTGCTTTCACGGATGAAACAGCTGCTTAACAAAGCAAAGAACACCACGAAAACCAAAAATGCGAATCCCTTGTTGGTGGACCAGCCATACGAGTCCCGGACAATCCTGGCGGTTGCTGGGTCGAGGGTTTTGATAAAGTCCAGACTTTCTCGCACTCCTTCGACAATTTGATCAATGTTCTTACTGTCACGTAGACCAGATTGCAATCGATTCCGTAAGACTTGCTGAACGACAGTTGATGATAAAGAGAGACCAATCACGGATCCCAATGAGCGGAATAGATATGAGCAAGCAGTGACGACCGCCTGATCTTCATAAGTAGCATTCGATACTGGCGGATTGGTTAGCATATATTCAAGGTTTGTAGAGCAAGATCAGATAAAAACCCACTCAAACCGATCAAGGTTGTAGTGACACCAATGCCATTGCCGAATGCCGAAATCACCATTCCGCAGATCATCGGGACTGTACTAGCCACCACACCACCGGAGAACAGGTATATACAGAATACACCAGTTGTCAGGGAAGCATACGCAGCAATTGTCAGCCAGTAATACTTGCCAGACCATTTCATCAACAAGCCCGCAAACACGGATCCAGTGACACCAGCTAGAATGCTTGGCAGTAAGCGCAGTCCCGCAGTCGTGGCAGAGACATCATCTACTGCTTGGAAGTATAATGGAATATAGAACAGGGCGGCAATCCATCCCCCGAAGCTGAAGAAGTTGCAGCTGTAGCAAGCAAAGAATGTTCGGTTGAAGATGATGTGACCAGGGGCAAAGGGTTCGGCTGCTAGGTAGATCTCAACTAAGATAAAGACCACGAACAAGACAGCAGAGACAGCTAGCGAGGCAATTGTTAGGGGTAATCTCCATGACACATTACTGCCACGATCAAGACCAACTAGGAAACCAAGAACAGCGCCAACAAGGACTACGGCGCCAAGGAAGTCGATGCGACGCAGCTTGGTCTTCCAATGGGCGCTATCGCGAGGAGGCAGCTTGAGCAGGAACGACACGGCAATGAAAGCAATAATGCAGAGGGGGAATTGCGCTAGAAACGCCCTAAGTAAAAAAACGTCAGATGGCGCAAGGAAATGTGGGTCTCGCATCATTCATACCAGCGCCAGCCAATGTAGTCGGAGAGAATTCCACCCAAGGGTGCACCGGTACCGGCACCTGTGGCATAGATGATATTGATAATACCCTGCCATAGGCCTCGATCGCGAAGAGGAACAATATCACTCATCAAAATGCTTACGACGGTGGTCATACCACCACCACCAATGCCTTGGAAAACCTGTTCGAAAATAGTCAGCATTACATGATTCAGACCTGAGATCATATGCGAACATACACGAGCAGCGATCAACTCATTAATATCCCGAGCTAAACCGCAGCCCAAGCATCCAAGGCCGAAAACCGCATATGCAAAGAGGAGGCACGGCTTGCGACCAAATATGTCGCTTAGCTTGCCATATAGAGGTTGGAATGACGTTAAAGTGAGAAAGTAAGAAGTAGCAATCCAACTGGTCAGATTGAGAGCTTTCAGGTCGCTACCAATCTGACCATAACTGGCCATGATAATTGTCTGGTCTGCCGCCGACAAGAAAATCTATATATCCGTTAGTCACAACTTCGATTTCAGAAAACAGAATCAATAAACATTAGAAGAATCCATACTCCGAGCGAGATGGCAGGCACAATATATTTGAGCTGCTTCTGTGCGTCATTGGACGACTCTTTTCTTCGCTCCTCTGCCTGAACTGTATCCCCTGATTCCACATGATGATCGGGAATCGTGCCGTTGGACACAGCGCCGTTAACAGATACGGATCCCAGCAACGGGGAGTTCTCGGTAGGAGATGTCTCTGGAGCCATTGTCGAGACTGTCTCTATCGTCAGATCGCTCCAGATTGTCTGAAAGTCAAAATGACTTGACTGAACGTCTACGGAGAAATCAACAAAAGAGGAGAGCGAGGGCATCTAAACCCCCAAAAGCCCCCACGTGAAGATAAGACGCCCCTCACTCCCCGGGACCGACTTACCCGTTTCGGCCAATCAAATGTCCATCATTCCTCGGGCTTATGCCGCTAGACCTGCAGGACTTTGATCTGCGATGACATCGAAGTGTTGCCTAGGATATAGCCCTATCTTGTACGGACTACTCATTTAATACATTACCTCAATTATAGAACTATACTGATAGGTCATCGTAAATTCGGCTGTTGAATAGGTATCTGAACTAAATATATGCAAATTTTTTTAAGTTAACTCCCAATTCCCTAAGTTCATGCTGTCGAAGGCATAGGAACCGGCCCACCAGGTGAGTCAGGCAGACGGGCAGTCAGCACCTCGACACCATCCTCAGTTACGAGAAGGGTATGCTCGAACTGGGCTGACAGAAGTCCGTCTTGGGTGGTGCTTGTCCAGTCATCCGGCCAAGTGCGGTCACGGTAGGTACCAAGGTTGATCATGGGCTCAATTGTAAAGCACATACCGGGCTTGGCAGTTCCAACAGCCTTGTTCTTGGCGTAATGGGGAATGTTGGGCGCACAGTGGAACAGCTGGTTAATACCGTGGCCGCAGTAGCTTTTGACGACACTGCAGTTGCGGCTCTTTGCGTGCTTCTCGATGAGGTTGCCAGGTTCGCGGAACAGCATGCCAGGTTTGACGAGCTCAATTGACTTGTTCGTACATTCACGCGAGGTTTCCACCACTCGGACGGCGTCGGGGTTCGCAAGTGCCTTGTCTCCAACATAGTAGGTCTCGTTGATATCGCCGTGGAATCCCTTATGATACAGAGTAACATCGATGTTGACAATGTCTCCATCCTGCAAGGGCCGTTGATCGGGAATACCGTGACAGATAGTCTCGTTGACTGAGGTACATACGGACTTGGGGAAGTTCATATAGTTCAGGGGGGGAGGGTAAGACTAAATTTATGTTAGTGTGGTATTGCGCACCAGAGAGTAACCTCTCGTACATCACGCTCAATACAAGCCTTGTGGACCACCTCGTCGAGGTAGTCCGTTGTGACACCAGGCTTCAATTCACGAGCAGCAGCATCCAAAACCTCACGAGCCAATCGGCAAACCTTACGCATTCCCTCTTGCTCCTCCTTATTCAGGATGGTGATGTTATGACGGCCGATAAGTTTTTGCTCGGAGCGGGGAAAACCATCGCGGGCATAGTCCGGGTGCGGGATCGTTTTGGGGACCGTTCGTTTAGGCGACAGAGGATAGACGGGCCTCAAAGAACCGGCGTAAGGGAAGGACGGGTACGGATTGAAGGTGCCGGTGGCTGGATCTGGTTCAGAAACTACCTTCGGAGGAAAAAGGTTGGTGAGGATGTTACTCTTTTTGTGAATGCTCTTATGTTCGCTCTAGAGTATATGGTCAGCCCGTGACTTCCCACATATCAGGGCGCATGTACTACGCATCATTTAGTCCCATCATAGTCCTACATACCCAGCTTCGTTTGAAACAGTCCTGCGAACAGAAGAAACTGTCCGTGCCGCTCTTCAGACATGTCGGACATTGTAGGGTGCCTGCATCGTTAAGGCAGTCCACACCCCGGCATTTGCGAGTCGCAACTTCAGCCATGTTAGAATAGCAGAAGTGAAAAGAAAAAAAAAACTGGTGGGAATATGTAGTGAGTAGATTGGACGGCGGCCAAAACTTCGAGAAAATCCCCGCGGGCCGGCGATATGGAGCTAAACTGCATTTGGACTCCTATAAATGGATGACTAACGTCGATCATCTCATTTTGGAAGGAAGGGGGCCGACCTCGCAGCACGTGATGATGACTTATTCTTCCGTTTCAACGCGTACCTGCCTTTGTTTTGGACGACCAGTTAAACTCACATGATGGCTATTCCAAGGCAGAAAGTGGTTGTTGTGGGTGCTGGCCCAGTAGGAGCCTTGGCAGCACTATATGCTGCATCAAGAGGTGACGAGGTGGAAGTATATGAGCTCCGTGGAGGTATGTTTCACTGCCTGGTGTGACCTTTCTTTTCTTTTTTCACCTTTTGGTGGCCGCCATTGGACACAGCCCGATTGTCAAGGAAGAACGCATATGTCTTTGGCCGGGGATGGCTGGCTTTTTATCCAAGGCACAATGTCTCGCAAGGTCCCTGTGTCAACTCTGCTATTAGGAGAAAATTACTCCGATTAATCCATATCACCATATCTTCCATGCCCCTTGCACTTGTCCTGGCTCAGTTGTGATTCATCGCGAATTCTTCCGAACTGACGCCAATAATCCCTGTGCATCCGTAGATCTCCGAGACCCTACGACTGTGCCATTGAACTTTACCAAGTCTATCAACTTGGCGCTCTCCGAACGTGGAATTACGTCCATGAGAAACTCTGGTCGGGATGATTTGATCGACAA